TGACCGCGTAGATAACTGGTTTCTTGTTTCTATTTATCCTCAGCTGTACAGAAAAACTCTAAAACAAGTTTAATTACCGTCAACAAGAAGAGCTGACAAGTTATCGAAAGCCGGGTGTGATAAATTTTGCTTCGCATAAATTTGTCATTACTATAACAATAACAATTTCGGTTTTCGGTGAGTTCTTGTGCTTAACATGTCCCTTTTGGGTGGTTGGTTTTTTTGACTGGTTTGCACTGCAACGCGCTGGCGTTCTGTCTACTGGATGCTTTTTTATTTAATTTTGCGCGGTGTTCTTTTGGACGGCCGCTGGATTATTGGGAGATGTCTCGGCAACCATGAAAAATAGCCATCAAACGGAATCTTAACCGGTCGGAATCAAACGTAGCAACGAAAAATAATGGAATTGAAAATAAAGGATTAAAATTGATCACTAAACAAATGAAGAAAGTCACTCAAAAATAGACTTTTTTCCCACGAAAATATCCAAAAGTTATTAAAAAGTAGCAACGGAAAATCATGGATTTGCAAATCAAGAATTTTAACTGAGCACTCATCAACAATCAATAAAATTTTATTACTCATTCAGATATTCGCATGGTAAGAAAGTCTATTTTTGAGTGACTTCCTTCACTTGTTTAGTGCTCAATTTTAATTATGTATTTTAAACTTCATTATTTTTCGAAGCTACTTTCCAATAATCTGTGGCTGGTTCGAATATTCCTTTGAAATGAAAGTCTTTTTTAAAGTGACGTTCATCATTAGTTTAGTGCTATACTAATTGTATGTTCGCAATTTCATTATTTGCTGTTGCTACTTTTCAATAACTTTTTTTACTTTTTTTGCTCCTTTACCGGTCATTTTTTAATTATTAAAAGCATGAATTTATTTATTTTATTGCTAAGGCTCATTTATTTGTTACCTGTCTCCTGGGTTTTTAACCAACGATTTCGAAGTTTGTATTGCTATTTTTAGTACTTCTATTAACGCCAATGGAAACCTGGTGTCTTCAGCAAATTTCCATAAAATCAACTGTTCCGCAACTTTGTCCAAGACATAGACTCGTTATCCCGTAACTGCAAAAAGTTAAAATTCGGATGTGTAATACTAGCTTAATAATTATTCAGGTGTGTATTTCATAAGATGCAGGATATGATTTTGAGCAACTTCTCCGAAGATACCTAGTCTCCAAACCGTCAAAAAGGGTAGAAAATGATTTTGACCATCTTTATGCAGATTTGTGCCATTGTGCAACACCATGATCGTCCGTAGGAGTGTTTTGTTATGAAAACGAACGATCTCTCTCAGGTGATAAACAGAAACTTCTAATGTTTTGTAAACATGCAATTATTAGGTTCAGTATGAGGTCTGAAAGGCTTATCGCTTTGGGTTTTTTTTTCGAATGAAAAGTACATGTGCTTCTCGGTAGAAATTACGCTACACATATTGCTAGATTTGAGTGGAAAAAAGGTAAGATTATTCTGATGACCTCGATGCTCCGGTGTTAAAAGAAAACGCGTGCAGGAGAGTAATTATGAGGATAATTCATGAAACATCATGAGTTTCCATTTGGAATTGTATTTAATGATATTGTATTTCCATTTTCACATAATCTTTACTTTAAAGTGCCAAATAGAGGATTCCTTAATATATTACATTTCCTACTAACACAGATGTTCCCTCCCGTGACATCCATGAAGATAGTATGAGTTCCCTGCACCTTCTTAAGTAGATGTTGGATTAATATTCCTTCCTATCTTTTGGGATGTAGCCAGGTGTATAATGCGATGCTTTTTTTTTCAAATTCTGATGTGCACGGGGAGCCACTAATCCCAAGTGTTTTTTCCACGGCAATCCGAGCAGGAGAAAATAAGAAATGAATACCTAATTCTGATCTGATACCAAAATTCGGTATTGACCAGCATGACATAAGAGGTAAAATACCAACGAATAATACCAAAAAACTACATGCAAAATACTTTGTAAATACCAAAAATTGATATTTGGATACCAAAAGAATACCTGGGTGGTATTTTTTTTTTTGTATTGCATTATCATAATTTGGTATTGGAATGGTATTGTGGGAACATTTTTGACGTAGGACTACGTCTTTGATTTCTATATGGGGGTACACTTTGTGAAAACCGAAAATGGAACATGTAACAAATTAAGAAAGATATTGAACGTTAATAACTCAGCTGCCCCTGGTCCAATTTCAATAATTTTATCACTAATCGATCATAAATATGGCTACGCATCGATAACAATGCTTTCTAATGTTGATTTTCAACAAGAAACTATTGAAAAACTGGTCAATGTCCAGCATTGTCCAAAAGCGTCGAATTAACTAACAAATCCGCCAATTACCTACATGCATATGCTGCTTCCCCAGCACAGTCGTCAGAGAGTAGTAAGAAGACGAAACAAGTCGAAGTGGCATTCGCCTCTGATCCTCGGGCGCGTGCGTATAGGGAGTATGGAATTGCGTAATATTTTGCACACTAATCGCCATATTCAGAACCAAATGCAAATTCTTCGAGTTAACCACCATCCGTCGTCTGGCTCGCTGTGGTGGTGTCAAACGTATCTCCGGTCTGATCTACGAGGTGTGTTGAAGGTGTTCCTGGAAAATGAGGTCCGTGATGCTGTCACCTACACTAAACACCCAAGGCTTACATCAGTAAAGAGTTGGAATAGAATTTATCTGTGCTTGTTTGTCCATATTCAGAAGCACAAGCCCCCAACGACCACACAAAATGCTCTCCAGAGTTGTAATCTTGTAACCAAACTTGGAAGCAGGGGTGCAAGTGATTTTGATTGATTCTCTTAATAAACTTTCTCTTTGAAAAAAATTACTACAAATTTGGTACGCCTACAATTCAAAAACGGAAAGAGTTGAGATAATAGATAATTGATCAATTAAAAGAACTAAATGCTCTTCACATCTATGCCGTTCACTAGCGGTCCTACGTCAAGCTTCCGTTCGTGCCCCTAGGCACAGACCCTTCTACTTTTTTTTTAATTAAATGGATGGATCTCAACTCAAATTGTTCCATTGGTGGCGTTATAAAACCTCTGGTTACTCTTAAAAAAAAACAGCTACCGACCGATCAAATCGCAATCTAACGATAGTTTTTATTTTTATTTTCGTGTGCTGCTTAAATATCAGCCACCGATCAACCGCGCCTCTATATTTACCGAAATTAGTAAAAAAACATAAGAGCAGAAACGACATTAAATAGAAAAAAAAAAACTAAACATGTCATACACTAAAACTCGCCGCTCCAAAGATGGTTCACAGTCGCGAAGACCAACAATGGGAATCGTAAACAAATCCGCTGCAGAGAGAGAGTGAACCCTCCGAAAGATTTGCCCTGGTTGCTGGGATTGGCGCTCGTCAGAAACTTGTCTTTTAACTGTCCTCATTAGACGATACACACGAAACCCTTTCCCGGCAGTGGTAGTGATGTAACTTGTTACAAAAATCAATTAAATCAGCAAGCACATTACGAAACGAGAAAACGCGACGGAACTATTAAAACGCAAGCGTTACCACAACAGAAAACCTTTCACAAAATTCGATTCCCACTCGCGTCACCGTAATGTAAAACAAATGAAACGTGTTACTGAACAAAACTAGACCAGCAAAATCAAAACACCCAAACCTGGATTTCATAGAATTAATTTATTAATTTATCATACGGTATATGTACATGGAAAAGTTTGCTATCTGCACTAATTTTCTCAGCTGCAAGTTTGCTGAAGACTGCATTTGAATTGAACGTTAGGATCGTTAGTTATTAATTAGATCCTGCATGCTCGAATCGAAAATCCTGGTCTATCTGCTCGTGGCAGTTTTCGATCAAATTCGTGGGCAGGAATTTTACACCTCGGTTGACCGGAAGAGTGCCCCGGAAGAATGTAAAACCAAAAAGAAGTCGAAATTCCTCAAAAAGTTCCTTGTCTGGCAACCAATCTGCAGTTGTGGGCTAGAAAGCGAAACTTTCGTTTCTCCTGAGACCAAGAACCAGCAAATTTACCAGGAGGAGTGCCTACGAAAGAGACTACTGCCTTTTCTGGAGCAGCATGAGATGGATTGCCTATTCTGGCCGGACTTGGCAAGCTGTCACTACTCAAATTTCACCAAACAGTGGTACAGCGAAAATGGCGTCACAGTGGTTTCCAACGGCCAACACTCTGGAACTAAGGACGAATTTTGGTTTTTGTACCAAAGGACGTCAACCCCCCGAACTCGCTGAAACTTCACCTGATTGAGAAGTTTTGGGCCATCATGAAGGCCAGACTTCGTAAAACTCCTAAGGTGTTGGAGAACGAGCTGACTTTGAAGAAACAGGGGATTAAAGTATCAAAAGAAGTCGCCCCCACCATTGCCCAAAACCTTATGAGTGGTGTTAAGAGCAAGGTGCGGGCATTCGGTTATGGAGTGGAGAACCAATAAAGCAATGAAAAAGGAATCGAACCATTATAGATATTCCCTGAAAGTTTGAAAAATATTAAACTCAAAAAGAATTTTTGGCAAACATTTTTGTGTGTCTCACTTTTTTCGAGTAAAGTCTTTTTTATCGGTTTAATGCTGACGACGAGGATTGGGAAAATATCCAAAAATCAAATCTCACCAACGCCCAAGATCACGCTTGATTTTCGTAGACAAAAATCATACAAGAAACTGTGACAATTTTCAAAAATGAGTTCAACATTAATCAAAATGACAAACATGTGTGAATACAATTTTTGGGCCAACGTCCTGCCCCGAATACCACTGATGAAATGATTCCGCATCTTCTAATGTGATAAAAAGAGAAAGCACAAGACGCCTTCAGCTGCGTTGATAATTGTTGGGGCACTAAACATCCGTTTATTGATCCGACACGAATATTGGGCATGAAAAAAAAATCACACTTTTCCCATTCATTAATTTGTCAAAATGATTGGTATCTTTTGGGGTAGCTGTCCCCATGGCACTGTAGTAGCCTTGCTGCCTGCATGTTGATGTCACTGAACTACAGGACCGCTTAGCTTCTCCCGAGAATCGGTGTGGTTTACTGAAATTGTATGAATAATATGGGTTTAAAATTATTGTTTTCTCATCATTGGTTTCTAATCATGGCACGAACCTTTCATGTTTGCAAATATTAGCTTCTGCAAAGCAGTGACCGGCAGCTCCAGTAACAAACATAATACCAGTCCCATCAGGTAAGATAACACAACGTTAGAGATGACAGTCGTGATCTGGTGAAATTAATGTACAGGTCAGAGTCCGTATCAACAGATAACATACCATGGCTTATGTTACCGTTTCTGTAAACCCGAAATGGATCGGTGACCGTATATTGTATAGAGTTAAATGTATGATAAACAAATGGGCCAGATAGGCTGAATAGGTGAGCCTTCCCAGTATCTCGAATATGCGATGGCTTAAGACTCGTTTCGTTGCTGGTTGTACTCCAAAGATGAGCCCAATAAAAAACAGGCTGGTGTAGACACCCCAAATGTACTTCGACAGAGGAAAGAAGGCAGCCATCCACAAAGATGGTTTTTCAAAGTCATAAATGTAGAAAATTGAGTTCAAAAGCATAGTGCCGAATCCCACTGGGAACACCAAGTACCAAACTATTTTGAACCACTGCAATTTAAAACATATTTTATGTGGATTACTTAATTCAATAATGGATTTTTACCTTTTTTATGCCAAGGTTGGCATTCTGTTTCCTTAGATTGAGGTAGATCATTGCAGCAACAATTCCTATCAGATAATTTCCGAGATTCATGTGGAGCGCTGTGTATGACTTGATTAAAAACTCATCGAACAAGCTAAAGAATCGGTCCGATCTGTTGAATTCAAGACAAAATTTTGGTAAATAAGTGGAGTAGGTAGCTTAGGCATCAAAACTCTTACTGTGGTGTGACTAGCAAAGTTCCGTCCAGCTTGTCATGGTAGACAAAAAAGGCAGGTATCAGTACTGAAGCAACACCCACAATCGCTAAGATCTGCAAAACGTATTTTTTGAATCGGACTATCGCTAGCAACAGTAAAATTGCTAGAATAAACAGCTGGAAATCGCAACTCAAGTACCACCCGTGAATGAAACACTGTAAAGAGAGAGAGAGAGAGAGAGAGAGAGGTCAAGTATTGTCACTTTTCAATCATTATTTGGCGCAAATTAAATCTGTTACATGTTCTTCGTTGTAGTTGTTGAGGTACAGCAAATTTATCCACCAGTTCCTACGGCAGAAAACGCGCTCAGTTTCCATTCTGATCGTCCACCAAGGCCCGTCCTGAAGCTTTGCCATCCATGTGGTATGGAGTAGAATCATGAACGCATACGCTGGTGTCAGTCGGATATATCGGTAGAGGATGGCTTTTAGCACGAACGATATCCCAAGAGGTTTTTTGTGGGTTTTTGCAAGCTTCAAGACCATCACCGTTAGTAGAAAAGCTCCCATGACAAAAAATGATTGTACGAACTGTTTTCCTTCGAAAATGAGCAACATGAAAATGCTATGATTTGCCTAGAAAAGAATGAGTTGTTGATTTATTAGATTTCCAGTAATTTAATTGGTTAGTTAAGTATTCTGCCTTTCATTGGTTTGAATTGTTTGTGATGTTGTATATCCCGAAAATATCCACAAATGAACCGGAAATCGAAATAGTATGGGAGTTATAGAAAAGGTCCATGTATTTAGGATTTCTTTGAGAAGTCCACGTAACATCTACGATATGTTTTAAAATATTCTACGAAATGTTTACGCGCAAGGCATATCTAATTGTTAACGAATATCTGCAGTAAGATGTTCGCTTGACATCCAAAAGTTGGTCACAAGGTTTTATATAAGACCTGTAGTGAAAATTCACTGAACATCTGCAACCAATGTTACCGGAATTGATGGGATGTAATCGGACTTACCAATTCTCATCACACAGGTCGCTGTGTTTAAACTCACCATTTCCATTTTGCTAGGATTTTGCTGCGGTAGATAGTTGTAGGCTGACATGATGTGCCCGGATATGACGATACACATTCCCCAGAAGCGAACGGCTTGGAAAATACGCAGGTCTTTGTTCAGTGGCTCTTCTGAGTAGGACGTCAGTCGGTTCCAATTCCGAAGAATCGAAAACGAAGCGAGCAGGATTTTCCCTGACCCAAAACAAAAAAAATGTCAAATGAGCACTTAAACCAAACTACAGCGATACTTACTTTGGCTGTTCAAATCACATTCGTAATGGTTGACGTTTTGTTTGCAGTTGGTACTTCGGTCGTACCAGCTGGATAGAATTACCAATAGAATCAGGAGTACAAGCACTGCCAGGAATAATTTATCTAGGAAATCTAGAACAGGCATTTATTTTTATTCTAGTGGCGAGGGACGATTGATTCATTCAAAAGGTACATACCAACGCCTTGGGGTTGATTGCTCTTATCACATGCTTCAATTTCAGTGTAAGCACTCAATCGATAGCTTTCGTTGAGCTTGTAGTTGACGCAAATTTCCACTAACTTCCCGTACCTCTCACGATCCTTCACCGAGTCTTTGAGGACTGTTGTATCATGAATGTACTATAAATGCGGAGTAAATATTTCAATAATCGACATTAAGGGTCCACATTCAAGACTTACAGTGAAATCGATCGGAAACTTTGGCACCATCAGCGATCGTGTCGTAGTATTCGATAAACTTTTAACAAATTTCTTGCATTCGTTCATGCAGATGCCACGTTCTAGCAATGCATGATTGTGATGCCTCCGATCATTGGAAAAATCCTAGTGATTCGAGTAAGGTAAGGTAAGGTGTAAACGAATTATGAAATTAAATAAAATTTCTGACCTCAATCAAATTCCAGAGATCAGAACTTTTGTCCGGTTTGATGACCGCTCGTGTCATGCAAAAGACAGCGATCTCGCCTGGAACGGACTCTTGCATACACTGATCGTAATCGTCTGTTTCGGCCATCTTCGGCATTCGATGATACTGGGATACTGAGGAAGGAAATGTATTCCAATTAAACAAAAGCACTGGATCTTAATTTAAATTGTTCATTAAATGATTCTTTTGTCACGGTTCTTGTTCGTCACGTTTGCTATCACTATTCACTTAACTACAGTTATTTAGAAATTATTCTCACATTCGAGGAATTCTCCATTGCAATCTACCAACAGCGCTATCAATGGTAAGATAGCACCAATAAACTTCACAATGTTCACCATACTGCTGCAGATCAGGTATTATAGCGACACGTTTTCTCCAATATCTATTAGTTTCAATCTCATCGACCTGCTACCGTCCGTTGTGTTCATTAAACTGAACAGCCCAATGACTGATTGGAGTAGGTTCACCTGCTGTGCTCACATTTCTATCGGTTTTAGGAAACCTTGTGATGTCCGATCGTCTCCGGACTGCGCACTGCTATCAGTTCGATCAGGACGTTTGTAAAAGTAAAAGTGTAATAGTAACAATACATGCGAAGCACACGATCATTCAACCACGGCGCGGAAAAGTACTGCTATGAGAAATTGGCACAAAGCTGCGTTGCCTCATCGCACTTTTTTGGCGCGTTTTTGCGATTAATTATCACAAAAGCGAAGACAGCTTAAGCGCTATTTTCTTTTAAGTTCCAGGGTTATAATTCCAAGTAAGTGTCAGCAGGTTTAGGTAAAAATCAATTTAGTTACATGTGGTTGATATTGGAAATGTTACTGCTTATCATACATATAAATTTTGGTTTTCTACTCATTATTGCATAATGCATACGCATATAATATCCATAATTTACAGTTGATCAATCATATAAAACTCTCAAAGGCTGATTTTGAACCGAGAGAGGTGCAATAATTGTTGTAGCTGGGAAAATTTCACTTAAATGCAAACTATTCCATGCATCGTTATGGTGAAGAGCTAAGACGATGAGTAAAAAAAGTTGCATTTTCCCTTAGTAATCCCCATGTAAACTGCAAAGGGACAGTGGAGTAAATTGAGCTCAATTTTCGGGAGAATGGTCTGAACCTATTTTAAAATTGATTGAGTGGGGTGAGCAAAATCGAGATATGGCCATTTCCCAGCGTTGCTAGTGTAATAGGATGCTTTGTTGATTGATCATTAACTCATCATCGCTTGTAATACTTAGGAATATTTTAGGTGGACAAAAAGGCAAACTAAGCAACTGTTAACTCTAGAGGGAACTTATATCTGTGACTGTAACCAGTTCGATTTTGTTTGATAACCTAGTTAAAATGTCATATTTAATTATCTTAAAGATAAATCGTCCAGCCCAAACCTTTGTAGGGGTAAGAGGTGGGACCATCATCATTACTATTGACATCACTATGTCCAGCAGCAAATAAAACTTAAGCTAAAACAGAATAGAAATAATGTATAGTATATAAGTAAATATTGTAGTAATCATTGCATGTACTCTACATTGGCTTGACGGAATGAATAAATAAATAAAATTGAGTGGGGTGAATGAAATCGAGATATTGCCATTTGCCAGGAATCGGTTCCGAATACGGTTACATCTTTTAATCACTCAAAAAATGACGTGCGACAGCTCTTTCTCATTTTGGAGCTCTCATTAAGAATATTGATTAAATATAGTGTCAGTAACAACCTTGTGATTGAAAAATTCGAAGAAATGCTCGAATTGAGCATCCAGTCTAGATTCGTGCGAATCTATCTTAACTATATGTCACCGGATATTAGCCTTCCTTGCTATAACCCCTCTCGTGTATGCTTTACTAACTACAGTTCCCCCCTTGACTATGATCTCTCCATGAAACAGGCTATTCAAGGAGTTTCAGATCAACTTCGACCTATCTCAATTCCTCGCATTTTTGCTGAAAAGTACCAACAAGTCAATTGTAATAGAATATTTTTCACTGATCACACGCATTAATGGATCCACTGGCTTCGGCGTCTTCAATGAATACTCAACCGCCTTTCGGAAACTTCAGGAACCTTGTTCCGTTTATGTTCCTGAGCTAGCAGCAATCAACTTCGCATTGGGGATGATTTCCGATATGCCCATAGACCATTACTTCATCTTCTCGGATAGTCTCAGTTCGATTGAGGCTATTTGGTCGATGAAACAAGGTAGGCACTCATCTTATTTCCTTTCAAAGGTAGGGGAGCAGATGAGTTTGCTGGTCGAAAGATCATACCTTTGTATGGGTTGGGTCCCCTCACATTGCTCAATCTCAGGCAATGAGAAGGCAGTCTCTTTCGCAAAGGTGGGCGCACAACAAGGCGAGATTTATGATAGAAAAATTTCACATGATGAATTTTTTCCATTAGTACGTCAGAGTTCTCTTTTAAGTTGGCAAAACGATTGGACAAGTAATTCTCTTGGGCGGTGGTTAGATTCCATTATTCCAAATGTTTCTTCGAGAGCGTGGTTCAAAGGTCTGGATGTAAGTCGGGGATTCATTCGAGTGATGTCAAGACTTATGTCCAACCACTACTCGCTAGACGCACATCTCTATAGAATAAACCTCGTTGACAGCAATATATGTAGGTGCAGAACCGGTTATGATGACATCGATCACGCATTTTGGTATTGCCCGGATAATGACACCTCCAGAGCACGACTATTGGATACCCTAGTGGCCCGAGGTAGACAACCCTTCCGTGAAGTAAGAGATGTATTGGGAACACGTGATCTTCCCTACATGCAAGCGATCTACGAATTCCTTTGTTTGTCTGATGTTAGAGTTTGATGTGACCATCCCCTCCTTGCCAAACAATTTTCAGCCATTGTGTCCCAGTCTTATTATCCTCCTGTTCCTGTGCTACTTGCCCCTACCCAGCCAGGATTTGGTCAACCGTCCGAGAGTAGTATCTGAAGGAGGCTTCTGAAACCAGTTTCCTACCTAGCTCCTTCCAATTGAAATTGTTACTCATTAACCTCGAGCCCGTCACGAGTGATTGGTACCCAATACTAACCTAGAACTACTGCTATTTAAAATGTAAATTCAAACATTACTGATTTATGCTCCGCAAAGTGTCACACACAACTGAGCCTAGTAAATAAACGAACTAGTAAAAAAAAACTCTATCTCATGGTTTTTAATCAATATTCTGTAGATAGACGTTGAAAACATCATTGACCGTATTAGTTGCTCCGGGATGCCTCCGGGGGAATCTCTGTAGTAGGGGACAATTGCATTTTTACACCAAACATGTCGTCCGACAGCGCATTTTTCATATTTTTTCATAAATAGGCTTTCCATAAACTTTAAATGGTGTCCAACCATTTGGCCGAATGGGTCATTGGGCCGAATACTTGAAAAGAGATTTCCAATTTTTGAACACTTCTAGATTCCTACATGGCAGCTCTGTGAACTTTTGACGTAGGACTACGTCTTTGATTTCTACATGGGGGTACACTTTGTGAAAACCGAAAATGGAACATGTAACAAATTAAGAAAGATATTGAACGTTAATAACTCAGCTGCCCCTGGTCCAATTTCAATAATTTTATCACTAATCGATCATAAATATGGCTACGCATCGATAACAATGCTTTCGAATGTTGATTTTCAACAAGAAACTATTGAAAAACTGGTCAATGTCCAGCATTGTCCAAAAGCGACGAATAAATTAACAAATCCACCAATTACCTACATGCATATGCTGCTTCCCCAGCACAGTCGTCAGAGAGTAGTAAGTAGACGAAACAAGTCGAAGTGGCAATTGCCTCCGATCCTCGGGCGCGTGCAAATAGGGAGTATGGAATTGCGTAATATTTTGCACACTCATCGCCATATTCAGAACCAAACGCAAATTCTTCGAGATAACCACCATCCGTCGTCTGGCTCGCCGTGGCGGTGTCTGACGTATCTCCGGTCTGATTTACGAGGTGTGCTGAAGGTGTTCCTGAAAAATGAGATCCGTGATCCTGTCACCTACACTAAACATGCCAAGCGTAAGCGGCCTTGGATGTCATCTACGTTTTGAAGTGACAGAGACGCACTCTGTTTGGTTTCGGAGGTTAAATCATCACCAACTTTGGCAACAAAACGGCTCTTTTCAGGGCCACCAAGCTTATTACAGTAAAGAGTAGGAATAGAATTCATCAGCCTGTTTGTCCATATTCAGAACCAACGGCCACACAAAATGCTCATGTAATCAAACTGGAAGCAGGGGTTCAAATTATTTTGATCAACCTTGATCAACTTTGAATCGCCACGGCTGGATATTTTCGATGGAAGAAGCAAAAATCTAGCATTTAATTCGACGAAGACGGCAGGAAACATTTGTGAAGCCGAGTTATTTACGAAAGAGAGTGTCGATGAAGAGAATCAATCAATGTATATAGGACCTATTGAAAAGTGACACGAGATTTGTTTTCCGTACTGAGCTCCAATGCTACCGACGCCAGGGAGGCAGCTCCCACACCTGGACCCTACCAATCGACCCATCAACTCAACCGGGGACCAACGGCTTTACTTCCCGAAGGAAGGCGTGATCAGAGATGTTATGCCTTAGAACATGCCGGTGGCGCCGACTGAGATTGGACCCATGTCTGCTGGGGTGAGAGGTAATCACGCAAACCACCGGCGCCGATATCTTTCAAGGTGATATCACGGCGAATGAGAACGACCCAAATTTGAGTTAAGTTATCTCAGAAATAAGAAATAAAGTGCAAGAACTCAGCGATGAGTAAATTTACCTCATGTTTTCCCAGGTTTTTCAAGGATTTTCCTTCGAAAAATTCCCGAATTTGAGAAAAGTAAAGATTGGATTTCCTCAGTCTATTGGTACTACTCCGAGACTGAATAAAATTTTCGCCAATTTCCTCATTTTTTAGCACATTTTTTAGGTTTTCCACTGGAAACCATGAGACAAATTTACTCATCGTTGAGTTCCTGCACTTTTGACGATTATGAGTGAACTAAACTCAAATATGGGTCATTCTCATTCGCCGTGTACGCAAAAGGAAAAGAGCCAGTGTCGCTACTTGATAGCAAACTACTCATAATGGGAGGAGTCTTTGTAGCTTTTATACCACTTGGTTGCACATCATTCTGCTTTAACCTGAAAAGATATAAAAGAGCGCTGCTGTATGGCATTAGCTAATCATCATCATCATTCTCTGCTTGTTCGTCAAGCAGTTCAGTCCGGTATTGCTCGCTCTGTAGAGTTGTTCGATAGCTTATTCCAAACGTTTATTCGCGTCGTCAGTAGTGTCGGTCGCATCGTGTGATGGGAA